TGAGTCACACAGGCACAGAGGTAGAAGGGTAAAATTAAATACTTTGCAGTGTGAAGCTGAATGTCTCCCCTGATATTGCAGGCTTGGAATTGGCAGAGGCAATGCCTTCCCCACGCACCCTCAAATCTCATCTCCCAGTTCATCTCTTGCCAACTTCCTTCTTGGAACAAAATTGCAAGGTTAGAACTATTGGGGGTGGTATTCAAAGATCTGAAGCTCTTGACTCAGCGTATCAATCTTCACTAATGTAGAGAGTTTCATTCCGAAACTCTTTACTAACATACAGCCACAGGTACTCTATTGCAGGGTTCCTCAACTTTTGAGCTGGCTGGGGAATTCTGGGAGTTGAAGTCCACTCATCTTAAAGTGGCAAAGTTGAGAAACACTGTGATAGATCTATATTGGCATCTATTGATTGCTTCAGGCTTACAAGCTGATTCATGGGCAGACTGTTCCCCTAACTGGACCCATTCCAGGCATTGCAAACTTTGTTTAAAGGGCTGCACTTTGAACAAAGTTACTGTACATGCCCAGCTAGATATGACGGGGGTTTTTTTCAACCACACTGAGAAAACCAGGCCTCTGATGCAGAGCACATTACCAGCACTCCTACGTAGCGACTGTGATGGTGATGGAAAATGTCAAAAATTCCAACTGCTCAGGAACTTCCGTGAATGGGGATTTTCCTTCTCCCTATGCCATGTCTCTGCTTCCAAAGGAAAGGGCATTCATGCACATGTTTTCCTTGAGAAGCTGACTCCCTTGCCCCCAGCCCCAAAGATCTCTGCTCTTCCAACTTACAGTTCATAAACAACTTGAGGAGCAAGTGTGCCAAAACAAACTGGGTTTATTCTCTTGGGATGGCTTGCAATCCCAAAGGATTAAAGTGAGGTAGAACCCAATATATCTCCCAAAGTTTGTCCAAGTCCTTTTCCTACCATCAGGTCTGAACACATCACCCAGGAGTCCTGACCTTGCAATTCTGCTCCCAGAAGGAAGATGGTAGGAGATGAACTGGCAGGTGAGTTTTGAGTGTGCGTGGGGAGGGCATTGCCTCTGCTTCTTCAAAACCTGGAAAGTGATCGTGATATCTTCAGCTTTCTGCACTTCCCATTTGCTCACAATCTCTCCAAAGCCAAACTTTCTCCTTACCTGTGCGGATGGGTTTGGGGGGACACATCTCTATGAATGGAATCCGTTCATAGATGGGAGCCCGAGCACATTTCTGAGGGTCCCCTCCGTGGTGGATCATGTCTACTATTTCCTGCATCCATGTTGTCCCTACCAAGGAAAGGGGCAAGAGATGCAAGTCATGGAGGCAGCCCAGTGGCTCTCACTCTCCCTGGCTGTCCTTCCCATTTCTACACCCTTCTATACCTATATCCCCATTTCTCCTTTAATCATATTTACCTGCTTTGGGATATGTGGAAATGAGAAGGTCATCAGGCCGAGCTTTAAAGCCAGATATAGCATCCCATTGCTCCACGATGGTATCAGGCAAAGAAACCCCTTCAATCTCCACCAACTCTAAGCGTTTGAGAGATGCAGGATCTATAGTATCTAATCGCTGCTGAACTTCCATCATCTGATGGGACAAGGGAACATAGTAACTGCTTCACCCCCACCACCAGCCCCTTGAGTGCCATCAGTTGGCACTAGAATAATAGATTATTATTATTAATAATAATTAATCAATGAAATCAATTAATTCTAAATTAATTAGTTTAATTGATTAAATTAGATTCGATTGATTAAATTAAAAATAAAGATATTAATTAATAAGATTGTTATTAATAATAATAGAATAAGACCTACCAGCTCTTCACTTATCTCTCAGCCAGTCTGATGTCGTTCCTTGCTTGCTCTGCCACTTGCCCTGAAGTGATCTGTGGGTGGTGCCTGCAAGAATGCAGGGCGTGGGTCTCTTCCCACACAAGAACTGGGCTTTAAGCCAGGATTTTCCATTGAGGTCACTGACTCTGAAGGAGTTAAACCTGGCATGGATCTGACTGGGGTTCTCCTGGGCCTCTTCTGTGTAGCAGTTTTAAACATACATCTAAAATATTCTCTTTCGTTCTCTCTAGGATACCAACATTTGCAGATCAATAGAATTGCTATAATAATAGCAATAATAATAATATTAAAACAGCACCTAACTTGGACCAGGAGGATAGTCCTAGGCGTTTTATTCTGAAATAAACAGCATGATTTCCAGAGTTGTAGATGTGATGTTTTCTGAAGCAAGCTCTGTTTGGGGCTGAAGTCCAGGGCTCTGCCCTTCCCTCCCCTGCCCCAAATGCCATAGAGCTGCTGTCTATAGAGTTGTCAACTGGGTTGCACAGCTACAGATGGCCACTAGATGGCAGCAGAGCAATATAGAAAATGCTAACTCTTTCGTGCCACCTAGCAGCTATCTGGATTTTTGCAGCCCAGATCTGGTAGCTCCAGCAGAAATGATTAGTCCAGGCTAGTAAAAAAGAAAGAAAAGAAAAGTGTTTATTCCCAGGAAAGTGGTCACAGCAGCAGGACCAGGAGCAGACTCCCTAGTTATGATGGTTGTAAGGTATGAATGTGTTTAAAAAGTGGAACTGCACATGTCCTGAGAATTGCTTTTGGGGGTTGGTGAATAGATTTGTTCATGTGTGGGACAGGAGATGCAGATTGCTGTAAAGCAAGAGTGCAGAAC